GTTATCTTGGGCCTATAACAATATGAGAGTAACAGCCGGATTTCAATAAATGTTCTCTGAATTTAAAAACTTTGTTGTTACTTCAAGCATATTAATCATCTAACTTCTGAATTGAAAGCTGGATAAGAGGGTAAACATAACCTGCACTGCCCAGCAAAAAAGTCTCCAATCTAAAAAATAGTTAAGGTAACAGAAAAAAAATTTTCAAAAGCAATACCTTTGGCAAAATTTCTGCTGCACATATGTAAGACATTAAAAATGTTAAGGAAAAAAGAAAATGAAGATATATCTATATATCACATATATTCATAGGCCCCTAACTACGGTGGAAGAGATTCTCCAAGCCTAATGTCACAGTAGCAGCACAGGAACTGGATATTGGAAAAACTATAAAGCTTTTTAAAAGGCATAAAAAAAAATTTACTGATCTTCAACTCTATTTTCTATAGCAATTTTGATTAAAGACATCTTTAATTAAGAAATAAAAAATTTTTTAAACTTCACTTTATGGCCCACTTGCCATCTCCCACCTGTACAAAAATCCTAAGCAACCTACCAAACTTATCTCTGTACTTCTATGAACTGTGAATGTGAAAACAACATGACTCTCACTCTAATTTTTAAATAACTTATCTAAAATAGAATTGTAAAACAGAACTTGTTTACAGGAGCTGTACTAAAACAGTAAGTAAATAAAGAAGTATAACAGGAGGGGAGAATCTAGCATTTAAGTGTAACAAATACTTACACAGTGCCTAGTAAGTGTCGGGTACTCTACTAAGTGTTTTACATGTATTAATTCAATTGATTCTTATGAGGTAGTACAAATGATGCTTTCCTTATCTCTCTACCTGGAGCGTTCTCTGGCCATGAAAGATGCTCCACCTGCCCAGTGGGCAAGCTGGAAGGCTCAGAGAGTTCACATTTAAGGACTAGAGAAATACATAACACAGCTTTCTCACCCAAGGGACAAGTATAAAGGTGTTACACTCAAGTGTCCCAGGGAATCTCTAGGAGGTACAAAAAAAAATGAAATACTATCTTCACCTTTCTGAGGGAAAATAATTTTCACCCTAAAATTCCATTCTCAGCCCAGTTATCAAGAAAGCATAAGAGAAGAATAAACCATTTTAAGGCATCAAAGGATTCAAATAATTTACCTCGTACACCCTTTTCTTAGGCATTACTTGAGGATGTATCAGAAAAACAGAAGGAAAGACAAGAAAATATGGAAGACGACACAGATTCATAAGTGAGAAAATGGGAAAACAAAGTCCCAAGATAAAACCTGGAGAGCAGCCTGGAAGAGTCAACAGTTCCAACTGGAAAAGAGTCAGCTCAGGCAACCCCGGAGGATTTGAAAAAACTCAAGGAGACAAAGGGAGGTCATTTAAAGAGATGTGTGGGGTGCATGAGAGCCAAGAGCTCCAGGAAAACAAAGGAAACATAATCCCAGTTGTGAGTTCAAGGATTTCAGGGCTGATGAAGAAAAAGACAGGAGCAGGAGACAGCAGCACTGAACAGCGGGGCTCTGCTGAGGGGTCCCTTCAGGCCGCAGACCTTCCAGAGGAAGCGGCCCAGGGCTCCCACCTGGGAGGGGAGGAGGGTAAGGGAACTCCCAGGAGGGAGGAAGATCAGAGAGGCAAGGGAATTCCACGTCTAGGGCTTGGCATCCAGTGGCAGGGGGACAGGTCTCTGAGCCACAGAGCTCCGAAGAGCAGGAGAAGTCTGGGGTCTCTTACAGCTACAGGATTTGCTTATCCACGGCTAGCAGATGTGAAGTGCAGTTTGCAGTGAGATATGCAAAACCAGGCATGCTCTGAATGGCTAAAACTACACTTGTTGGGCTGTATTTAAAGCAACTGAATGTGTAAGAATTTGAGTTTGGCACTGGCGGGCTCTGAGCTAAGGGTCCTGGCGTGCTATGAAGAAGTAAACAACTGATATCCAACAGCCAACTTCAGCCCATGTATATAACCCAGGCTACTACTTAGCTCCACACTGGTTCTGACAAACACATAATAATATAAACACTATTTCCTGATTTTCAGCTTTTAGAAACAACCAGACAAAACCTGAAGAACTTAATTATGGTTATGAAATCCAAGTAATATCTACCCTTGATGTAAAAGTAACATGAAATATAAGTTAGAAGTATGGATGACAGAAGCTGGGGCCCAGGAAGAGAAGCACAGCTCTAAAGGAGGGTAAAAGTATTACTATCTCTTTCACACAAAAGGGGCGGGTGGGTGGGGAGTAAAAGACCGTGAAACAAAGCACACTCAAGACAGCAACATAACTGTGGGACGGAGGGAGTGGCCATGTGAACACTTAATACACAGAACTAGATGCTATCTATGTTAAGGCATGTATTTTGACATACCTTGAAATTAATGGAAAATGCAACTAGAAGACTTTAAAAAATTGCCTCGGGGGAGAAGACTAAAGACGAACAGGAGGATGACAGGAGGTAGCTGCAGTTCACTTCCAAGCTTGCCAGAACTATTTCCAAATTCTGCTTTCTGTACTAACTTCATATAAGTGTTTCTATTCATTAAAAAAATAAAACAACAAAAATTATCTTTGACATTAACTCTGCTTACCAAAAAAATAAGCCAATTTTGGTCTCTCCTTCAAAAACAAGGACTCCTGTTGGGGTCAGTCCCAAACTGTAGTCATTCCCGTCTCTGGCCTAATTTTAGGGGAGCAACATGTGTTAGCTTTATCTGAATAAAACAGGTTTCACATTTTCACACAACTGCTTAATTTTCTTTTCATATTGAATTATATTAATTACATACAGACTAGTATTAATATGAAGGTATTTTCAACAATTAAAGAACCCAAAATCACATTCTCAGGAAACTTCATGCATATTAATAGACACTATAGTTTTAAGGTATGTCTTCATTGGAAATACATAGTGATTAACTGCCACGACAAAGAAAGCTTTCCAGAGTCTTCCCAAATTCTAGTCACTATTTAAATCACAGATTTTGAAAAAGACTGCCTTTCTGGGAAAATTTAGCTTCTTAAACTAAAAATAACAAATCACTACATAAGCTGTACTAGACTACAGCTTATCAAAGTCCTCTCAAGCTACAAATTTTTAACTTTACTTTCTAAATTATTTTCATTTTTACAGAGCCTACTCAGCTTACATGATAAAAGATGAAATGAATATGAAGTGAAAGAATAAAAGGTGGGTTAAAAAACAAAAAAAACCGCAACAGCAACAGCTTAAAACCAAAGACATACCTTTTTGGAGATTTTGGCTGTTTTTCCTCTCTCTTATAAGCAATTTCTGTGTGAGACTCCCATCATTCAGTATTTACCCTCAATCTTCATAACCGCTCATCCAAAGCACCCGGTGTTAGCCCCTGCAAACTCCACACTCCCCCTCACACTGAAAGAATCCATAATCACCTTGAGTCTTGAAGGAATAACGCTTTTAAGAAGTATCACCACACAGTGCTTACCTTGACCACATGCATATCAACCCCATACATTTCTAGCCACTTGGCTTTATTCAGATAATTGGTTTCAGCTTGTGCTGGTGTCTGACCTCTGAAATTTAAAAAACAAAAAATTTTAAGATGATTATGAATATACAATGAATTCTATACCAAGCAGACAAACAGAAGAAAACAAATAGGAAATCACTGTTGCGGTGATGTGACGGTACCTGCATTCCTTCCATTTCTCAAAAACAGCCAGCTCCATCTCTTCCGTCTGAACGGGCACAAACCTGAACTCAGACACAAGTTCAGGACTGTGCTCGGCAAGGTCGTAGTCACCAAGTTCAGCTACAAACAAGTTTCACAGTTATGTTTTGTTAATAAGTTTACTTCCTGCTGAATCCTTCTTCAAGACCCATTTTATTAATAAAAACTGCTAAGAAGATTAGATTCTTTCTTAAACTACAAGGCATTCATAACACCCAGACCACTCCCAAAAATAAATCTAGCTTTGACTTAAGACTTATCTGTCTGTACACACAAATCAAGCACTTGAGGTTGGTAGTGTATTTTCAATTAAATGTCTTTCTCTTAATTTATTCATATGTTATAATGCTTAGCTTTTGAAAACCTCTTTTAGACTTCCATAGAGAAATACCTTTTGATCGTATATTGAATAAACAAAAATATTAGCAATCCTTAAAAAACAATTAGCTGGCATCTGTTAAGAAGCTAATATGCACAGAACATGACATCAAATATCACTGTAAGAAATAATCACCGTCCCTCCTCGAATTTTAAATTATTAATCCCAAAGAAATAACAAAAAAAAGTTACTAAAAAATATCTTATGAAGGCAGCAGGAAAAGAACTGGGCAATGAACAGACATTTATGTGCCCATCTGTGGTTATCTCTGAACTGGGCTTGGGGAAGGAGCGGAAACAATGATTCTAATATTCTATTCTTTAGAAATATTTCCTTTAAAAAATATTTTACTCTAATTAAAATATTTCCATTTTGATAAAAAATTTGGCTGTGGAAAGAAAAAGTACATGAGAACTACTTTGATCATAAAAATGGTAATAACTTGTTGCTTCCTGAGCATCTAATTTACACACTAGACATATTACAGATGTACTGTCATTGAACTTCACAACAACCTTGGAAAATATTCTCACTCCTACTTCACTGCTGAAGAAAATGCTCTTCTGTCTGGATCACAAGTTCTTTAAGAAGCCCCAAACCAAATCTGCTACATAATGTTGTTCAGGATATATACTAAAATGGTAAAGAAAAACTGAACTTGAGAGTGTGAGAAAAGTGATAAAGATTATTCTGATAAAACAGAAAATCATAAATGCGAAGCAAGGAGCTCATTTAATGAAGATGGGAGTAACATTCCAGCTGAATCACTCTTCAGGACCTTAATAGTTAGTAGGACTTGGTAAGCTACTAGACACGGGACAATGAGATGCCTAAGATGTAGTCTGAAGTTTGGAGGAATCACAACAGTAGCAGTGTCGCACCCACTGTGCGGCCACATGGCGTCGGATGAGGATGAGCAGCTCTGCTCCGAAGCCCTGGAGGCTGCCCGTGTCTGTGCCAACGAGGACCAGGTGAAACGCCGGGGCAAAGATGCTGTTCACATTCGCGTGCAGCCCCACCCTTCCCACGTCATCCGCACCAACAGGATGCTGTCCTGTGCTGGAGCTGATGGGCTCCAGACAGGTATGCAAGGGGCCTCTGGAAAGCCCAGGGCACAGTGGCCAGGGTCCACACTGGCCAAGTCACAATGTCACCCGCACCAAGCTGCAGAACAAGTAGCATGTGATCGAGGCCCTCCACAGGGCCAAGTTCAAGTTCCCTGGCCGCCACAGATCCTCCTCATCTCCAAGATGTGGGGACTGATGAAGTTTAACGCGGATGAATTTGAAAGCACGGTGGCAGAGACCCAGCTCACGCCGGATGGCTGTGGGGTCGAGTACACCCCTAACCGTGGCCCCTGGACACGCAGCGGGCCCTGCCCTCGCGACAGCCTTGGCGCCGTCCCTCCTTATGTGTGCCCACCAATACATCCTACTTTCTTGTCAAACAAAAAAAGGTGCCATGGATGCAAGAGAAAAGTAGGAAAGATTTTATTCAGGGAAAAAATATGATAGGTAGGGTTAAGAGATAATATTACACAGCCACATGCATGAATCAGACAATGAGTACTTAGTGAGCATTACTTTGAATGAGTGTTTTGTTAAATAGACAAAAAATGTATAAAAATCATATTTTCAAGAAGTGTATACTTTGGCAGTCACAAAACTTATGAGACACAGAATATAAGAAGCAGTAAGTGGTGGAACACAGATGCTGAAAGTGACAGCTTTTCTGTAGATCTGAGAGTTTCAGAATTAACAACCTCACACAGCAATTAATAAAACAAAAAATGTGCTTTCAAGAAAAGATGCATGCAATTATACAGCGTGATCATTACAGTGCTAGAGGCACAACACTTCCAAACTACTATCTGTTTGACTTTCCAGCAGATGAGAAAACGAGTTTTAGTTTGTAGACAGACTACAATTTACACTAGCGGCAAATTTTTGAAGTACAGAAATTTCCTTCAGTCACCAATCCCTCTATCGACAGAAAAATATGCTTTCTAAAATAGCAGAAGCACAAAATAAGCAAAATAATAGGTTTACCATAAAACATGAAAATTTAGTCTCATTATTATCCACACAATGGAAAATAAATACTGCTGATCTTAGAGAGATTGGGGATAATAAGGAATCACCCCAAAAAAGCATAAAATTATTAATGTCTTAATAATCATTAAATATTGCTTTTATTCTAGTATATACGGATACTCCAGCCAGGATATTTCTTTCCCTTTCGTGAACAAGGACTGAAGATTATTATTTTCCCAAAACATCAATTTTTCAGAAGAGAATACCTAAGTTCAACAAATATTTGATCAGTGTAACAAGGTACAAAAGGGTAAGTTTTTCATTAATCTCACTGACTGGAAAATGCTTTTGAAAAAATTCTTAAAATAACCATCAGGAACTTTTAAATACATGCTAAGTATTTCTTTCATGGATTTATTTTTAAGGATAAGACTAAAGAAAGCAAACCAGGTGGTACAGCAACAATTTGCTCATACATCCCTGCATTCTTTTTGAAGGAAAAAAATTAGCTGAGGATCCAACTAAAACAGATATTGAGTTATCAAGTAGACTGCAATTTCTGTTTGAAAACACTATTAGATGGAAAGGGAGCAAGTAAAGACAAAGGGAAGAAAAAGAAGGCAATATCTAAAAGGGAAAGGCAGAGCTGGGTCCTGATACACGTTTACAGAAACCGTGGTTGTTCTTTTCTCACACATCACTTTGAATTTCTTGAAATTCCTCAAATGCACACAAAGAAGAATTATGCTTCACTCTTAACAGGCAACATAAAAAACTGCTTACCCTGCAAGTTATAAGCTGCCAACTGAACCGCTGTATCAAAAGGACACTCCAATCTGAGAGCAGAACACAAATGTGTTAAACACGCCAATGTCATGACCTTTGTTTTACGATAAATGGAAATAAGACATACTTTGACCGTTTCTTTTTCATAATTAACTAAGAACTTATTTTTCAACTACTCAAGAAAATGTGGTTTACCTTAAACTAATACTCACTTTCCACTGAGAATATCTTGTTTTAATTGAAGAACAAATAAGTACCTAAGAAAAATAAAAGGCACAAATTTAACTAAACAGATCAATCTACCATGAAAAATAATCCTGCTCTTCTAATCTGAGAAGAAACACTCTTAATTACAAAACTTTACCCACAATAAAGTCTGTAAAGGAAAAAAGAATATGGAACAAGGGGCACTCAGTGTCAGGAGGATGGGCCAGAGTACAGGGTAGCCCCTCAAAAGAAAAGGTTTAGCAAATTACTGGGAATGAGCTCTGTGGTCTGCTTCACCTTCACTGTGACGACACAGCCACCTCATACGTAAAACGATACGGCAATGTACGCATGGGTAAGAGCTCTAATCTTGTCCACTAGCAGTGTTCAAGAGGAACGCCTTCTAAAGGGACTCAGCAATTCAATTTTTTACTTAATAAAAATAGTATGTGTGCATGGTCATAGATGTGCAATACAGAGTCCATGAATAAATACTGAGGCAAGACAAAATAAAAATAAATGTTTGTAACTTACTTAAAGTTACTGAAAACTATTCAAGCAAAATCAGGATTCAACATTTTTCAATAATCAATGGCATTTCAATAAAGAAAGTCAGGAGCCAACTTGAAACAACTCTCAGTGGCCGAAAATAGATCATTTTGAACATCAATAGACACAATATGATAATGTACTGAAGCACATCAGTCCTATTTAAAATTCATGAGTTGATAACGATACTTAAAAACAGAACTCACTGGTTACGTTTGCTTGATGCTAGAGAACCAACTGTTTGTTTTGAAAACTGGTAAATGAAGGAAAACATTCTACACTTAAAATAATACTGCCCCAAATGAAATTATCTTGTCTGGTATCTTGTTACCAGGGGCAAAGTATCCATTTCACTAGCTGTCTGTACACTGGAAGGAACTGTAAAGGCAACCTCCCGACATCTTTAGCCAGCCTGACCAAAACTTTACGCTTGCACACAGCTCCAGACATTGGGCTTACCGGGTTCGTTCTTCACGAAGATTATTTGGTTCTGAGGAATAAAACTTAACTCGAAGATGCAGACAATAGGGTGAACCAACTGCCATTAAAAGAAAAAAAAGGGAGTGTAACTTTTTCAATATGGTTATTTAAATAAGTAAGAATTTTCAGTCAGTAAATCTGTCAAAAATCTACTGAAGTGGACAGAAGGTAACAGATTATTGTGGCAATAATTCAGGTTCCACTGTGGGCTCAATGAAGCCCAACACAATCAACAGACGTTGCAAGTATACCAACCATCATGTAGCAGTGTCACATCATATCTGTCCTCCCAGGAACAGACAGCTCCAGATTAAGTCTAATAGTTCAGGGCCAAATACGCTGAATGAAAAAGTCTTGACTATGCACTCTGACAGCCCTAAAAACCTGCCGAGCTCTGTTTCTCAAGAGCAAGGAGGGACGCCTGTTATTAACTGTGCGTGGCAAGTCAGCCCACATCCTTTCCAATCCACTTCACCAACCTCTACATTCTCAGAAGTCCCATTACTTTGTAAAAAGAGTTGAGGTGCCCTAAAAATCTGTTACTACAGAAAACATGATGGATTATGGACTGGACACTAGTATTGTCCCCTGACTATCGCTAGGAACAATACTGACATTTTATGTGAATGACTTCTTTTCATTATTCTTAATTAAAAAAAAAAAAGTTACAGCCTTAAATTCTCAAAATATTTTCTAGAGCAGGGCAGACACCAAACAGAAAAATTCCAGTATAAGTAATTACTAAAGAAAAGTTAAGCATCTCATGGGAACTCACATCTCATTTCCAAACTGCAAGCCTTTCTCCTGGAAACAAACTGTAAGGCACTTGAATCTAGATTACCATCAACCCTATATAATTTATGGGGTGGGTCAGTATATTGGATTGAAATTATTTTTAGAAAGTGGAGATGCTAAGAAACTCATTGGAAACATGATTTCTTATGTCCCTACTACGAGAAATCAGTTTCTAATATACAATTATATATAATTCGATTTCCAATTTTTGTCACAATTTTTTCAACACTTACTTTTTACTTGCTTTTTGATGCTTTTTGTACCATCCAACCAATGCTAAAAACAAAAACAAAAAGTTAGCTCTTAAGCAGATGAGAGAACTTAACATTTTAATTACGAAAAGTTAATTTTCATCATGCTTTTGCTGATAACGATACGGAAATATTTCACAAGAGAAAAACAAATGTGAGACTGAAAACTGGAGAGCAGGGGAGTGTTAATCTGGCCAGAATCCACAGCAAGCTTATGACACATATAAACAACAACAAAAAACCCTAAAACCAGATATATGACTTCTTAAACCATTTCCTCTGCTCTCTCAGTAACAAGGATGATATTCTAAATTTTGCCCTCAGTTTTTCTCACTGTTCCCCAAAAGATGACTCTTTCAAAACTGATAAAATTAGAAGTATCCTCATATTCTAGTACTTGGTTCATTCTTGTAATAAAAATGTGAGATTTATGAACAGATCATAACCACAAATTAGGTGAAATAACAATGTCACTTATGTTTTACAAAACAGGTACTACTCAGAGTAGTAGTCTCTGAAAGAGCTTACACAATAAAATTAGATCTCTCTCATAACTAAGGCCCTATCTATTAAATAAGCAGTCTTTGCTCCTTTGCTTTACAAATAAAAAAAGGTAACATTGTGATTAGCAGACTTCTGGTTTCAACAGTAACAGCCTTTTCTGACTTCTGTAACCTCTTCACTCTGAAATGCCCAAAACACAAACAGACCTAAGAACCGATTCCAGAGACTTGCACTGATAAACCACTCCCAGCTCACTTCTCACTATTAATCCCTTTACACCAAGTCCTAACAGGGACAGGACGCCCTCATCGCACTAAGATACACATGACTGTGCTCTCTTCAGTATGCTTACAATTCCAAGCACCCTAAACCAAAGGAGTGCTCTTGTGCTACAGCTCACAGAGCTAAGGAATCCAGTCTCAGAAACCCAGACAGGCAAAGTGTGGGTAAACAAGGCTGCATTGTTAACAGACTTGTAACCATTTGCTTTTCTTGCCAATTATTTGCCTAGCCGCTTCTCTCCATTCTCTGCCAAGATCCAAAAGTGAAATTCACAGAACTACCAGTGTGCCAGCAAAGTACCTCTGCGTGTGGACACAGGATGGTCAGTAAACATTTCCAAAGGCAATTAAATACAGTGCAGTATCTCCTCTGGATTCCAAGTGTGCAGGCTACTTAGTCAGCCATCTCTCATCTTTCAATAAATGCAGTCGGACATCTACTTTTAAGCATATTTTAATCTGGCAACTGTTCAGTTTTACACATCTTTCCATTAACACAATGTTTGGCCAGCCACTAGGCAGAACATAATTCAATCTATCAGCTGGAAAGAGTTCAACTAGGACAGTGAAAAGTTCACCCATCATTGCCAAGCCCAGGAATCTACTATACAAAAACCCCAGACTT